TCAACCATCATAAACACTGAAAAATAAAATTGACAAAGATTATTGTTTAAGGTTAACGGAAACGCATGTCTTAATTAGGTTTTTTTTTTTTTTACGAATTGGTCAAACCCAAACTCAAACAAAAACATTGTTTTCAATCGTTATGAGTCTACCGATTGAATAGAATTTTTATTATAAACAATTGTCTTTTAAATGGAATTTTTAAAGCATTCTGAATGTAAAAATAAAGAAAAAAGTGTGCAAGACAATAAGAAACACTACCTGCCAAAAAAAACTTGAAGTTTTGTTGAAATCGGTTGAAAAATGTAGGAAATCCGATCCCATATATAAACTAACACACACATACACACAAACAATCTGGGTTTTATAATAAGTATAACTCGATATGAGTTGTCCCCCTTTCATTCTGGTGACATAATTGTGTTTTATTGTGTTTTAAAATTGATTTCATGTAAAAACAATTGTTTTTCCAATTTTTGGCGCTGTCAGAACCATCACAAGGTAATTTTACTTAGTCCTGTGAAGTTTTGTTGAAATCGGTTGAAAAATGTATGAAATCCAATCCAATATATAAACGTACAGACACACACACACACACAATCTGCGTTTTATAATAAGTAAGATGAATCGCTACGACTTTTTGGCATCGAAAATAAGGTAGTTTTCTATTACTTTTCCCTCAAGGTTTTTAATTCTAAGTAGACCGTCTAGGACGGATTTTTAAATTCAGAGCGGACCTTCGAGGACGATTTCCACCCGTGGATAAATAGCACAGATCTGCTATTAAACACTTAGTTGGTAGGATCCATACCTTTCTCAAGTGAATGTAAAAAAAAAAAAACAATCTGTAAATGACTGAGCAGGCATTTGGATTGATCAATTTTTGTTTTTCCTATGGGTGTTCGGATCCAGGCGTCTTCACATTCGCCTGACTTGCCGTCTTCACATATCTAATCTGGTCGCATTCAATATTAACATTGTGCTAGATTCTGTCCCATTTTATATTTACGCAGACTTGGAAGTTTTAATACAAGTCGTTTCAGTTATATAATTATTTTGTAAAGCTTTATTTACAAATATAGGATATGAATTTTTTTTATAATGGTCCTTTCAGTTTCTATATTATATTTTACAAATCTTTACCTATAAATATAAGACTTGAAATTCTTTTTTCGCCATCATCCCATTTCCAACTCGGCCCGTAGTATTGAATGTAATGAAAAATTTAAGTCGGTGTTATAATTTACTCTTCTAAAACAAGACCCGAGAGCCACTCGAATTAGAGGGTTACCGTTAAAAGGGTTGGGATGAGCGAGGTGTGACATGAGTGAAAAAAAAAAAAAAAAAAGAGAGGTTGTAAAAATTGAAGCTTATGAAGATCAAGGTGTGTGGGGGGTGATAACGATTTCATCTTGGTAGGAACAGAAGAGTGAGGTAATGAAAGTGAGAATACCGAAAAAGACAGAAAAAAAAAATCAAGACAAATTACATCTGGAGCCTGAAAGGAGAAAAAGAAACCAACAGTGGGTCGGATATTTAAAATGTTAGACATAAACAATAAAGTGACCGTTTATCATTCGAAAATGTATTAATCGCCATTTTCTTTCACAAAATATATGATGCATTCTACGGAGGAGGGGCGTATTCAACAAGAAATCGAAAATTGCTTTCTCACTGCAAATTATTGATTATATCATATCCAAGTATTTTACAAAAGATTAGAACCGATTACACAACATTTGAAGCTCAATTTAGCTTTATAGTTCTTAACCATGCAATGAGATGAGGTATCAAACCGTAGATTTTTCTGCGGAATATCATTACGCTGTTACATAATTATAGTAAAAACATTAAGGCTTGTCAAAAGTGTTTTAGTTTTGGTCGTACATTAATTTAAATATTCCTTTTTACAGGTTTTATTTTTTAAATGGAATAAGATCATTCTAAATTTCAGAATGTCGCTGTTGCCCATCAAAATGACGAAGAAAGCGATCTAAAAATAAACAATGGAAAAGAAAGGTAACAAAGCTCTAGTTTGATCAACTTAGGAAACTTAGCATTGAAGCCAAAGAATTTTAAAATGCTAGCAATGACAGGAGAAATTGAAAATTACGTAACAAAAAATGAATATAGCGTCAAAATATATTTTTATTTACTCATGTATATAATGTAAATAATTGTCAACAATGTTTCCGTAAAACTTGATATTTCCCGTAATAAATTCATAATAAATATTGTTATTATTTTACTTAAGTGTAAAGTAGTCCTATATTTACAATTCCTTACGGCTAACCATGTAAAGAAATGTTGATTAAAACTGCCTAAAACCTTTAAGCGGGTATTGCCTCAAAATTATTGAATACTGAATACACCCCTCCTCCGCCGAACGAGTCGTATATAATATGCATTTGATGCTAACCCTGCAGTGAAGTAGTTACAAAAACGACACTTTTACGAGGACACTTATTTCGCCTAGTAGTTACATTGATACATTAACATAGAGAGAAGCTCTCATAACATTTTGTAAATAAATTCAAACCTCTGTAAGGCGATAATATTACGAAGAAGCAAGGAGCTACTGGGATTGAAAGAGAATCAGAATATTTTAGAATGTACCAGAAATACAATTCTAACCAGAAAACAAGGGATAAACCTCGACTTCAAAAAACCGGGGAGAAGTATAACAGTGTGATAAGCAAACCTATGAATATCACATGTAACTTGAAGAGACAAAAATGACATAATTAGGATGTTAACATCGATAATAACAGCTACTGGACTTTTTTCATATATATATATATATATATATATATATATATATATATATATATTTGGTTGGATAGATGTGAGTTTGTGACCCTGGGTTTCACGCTTTAGCGATCGTCAGACAAATGTTAGCTCTATCTCTGATATTGAGCGCTTTCTAATAAGTACCGCGCATATAATATATAAATAATTATACATATATATATTTATTTATATACACTTTTCATATATATAAAATGATAAACATTTTACAAAATCACTACACAAATAGCCATTTTGTTTCAATACTTCTGGTGTCTTTTCAAGTGATGGTGTTGAATGATTAAGACACCAGAAGTGTTGAAACAAAATGGATATTTTTGTAGTGATTTTGAAACATGTTTATGTTTTCAATAAATAATATTTGCTCTACCCTGTATTGAGCACTCTTTTAAGAATAGTGTTTTTGGTTATTGGAATTTTATTCCGTCCACACCAATCCTATATATACAGGATACAGGTTCGACTCCTATCGGAGGACGCATACTTTCTATGAAAATTTCTCGGACATTCAGACCGGTAAATGTCGTTAACACTGTTTATTATAAACAGAGCATTTACTTAAATATTTGTATCTATAAAAAAGAATGTATAAACATAAAAATACGGACCTCATCAAGTATACGCAAAGTTAACGAAGTGAGGTGGGAGAGAGGATATGAGTGTGTCATATGTATCATTTTAGTTTCCTATTTTAACCCCAGTGTGTCGGCTAGATGTTGCTCCAATTTAACGCGTCTCATCTCTAGATTGGGGCAGCATCTAGCCGACACAGTGGGGTTAAAATAGGAAACTAAAATGGTACATATGACACACTAATATCCTCTCTCCCACCTCACTTCGTTAAACTTGATAAGGTCCGTAAAAAACGTGTGAATTTCTTTTCATTTTAGCTTTTGGAAGTAAAGTCTGATGATCCAGAACCTGTTAAAGGAGTTATGGTGAAATAGCTTATTACAGGGAATCTTAACGTGGTCTGTCTTTTATTCAAACATATCTGCTCTGAATTTTACATTGAGCTCTCTGGATATCATCCTCCTCATGTCTACCCATACGGATTACCTAAATTTGCATAAGCTAGATATATATATATATATATATATATATATATAATTCATCAACTCACAGTTCCCCCACGGAATATGTGAGCGAGCGGCGCTTTGTTGAGTCTGATTTGCAATCTCTTCGTCACCGAGGCACAGTTGGTATGATGTTTGCTTGACAACCTAACTGTCAGGGTTTCAATTCTCGGTAGCGGATGCACACTGCTGATGAGTCTCAAATATAGTACGAAACGGCCGTCCAGTGCTTTCTGCATTCTGTTGAGGTTTCTATCAGACTCGATGAATTACTTAAATATAATTATCAAATCCTCCTAATAATTTCTATCATATATATATATATATTAAAAAGAAATATTTTATAAACTTCACCCTAAAACGTTACTTGCTGCTCGGTGAATTGATCCCAAGTGTTTCCTCATAAGGAATCGACTAATCATTTACGCCTATTGAGGAAAAAACAGTTAATCCAATTTCGGAGTTTAGGCGGAGAGATTAAAAGTATACAGATAAAGTAGACATTATATGGAACAGGAAATAAACCACTACTACTGTTTAAAACACCCAAAAGGAATGTGAAGCGGACGCTAGGCGAAACTATCTACTCCTGTTCCTGAATATTAAGAGTCTATCAAATAATATATGCTGTCTGAGAGCAGTGCTGATTTAAGGCCTATTAAAATGCATTCTTCCGGTAGAAGAGACGAGTGGAGAATATGAAAGATCTGCTGTGTGAATCTCCAGTAAAAAAACACCTTTTGCCGATTAAATTAGGAAGCTAGACTTCTTGGTTTCTAACATTAGTTGTTTCGTATTTTCCCCGTCAGAAGCAAAGGAAAGATTGCACAATTATGATGTGAAATCCTCACAAGAAGAGGTTTAGGCAAGAGATGTTTTATAAAATTTTTACAAGAATACGATAGAGGGAACATGTGAGTACCCAGAAATTGTAAAAAAAAAAAAATGGAAACAAAAGGACACTTCAAAATCAGGAAGAGACAATTAAATTTGCTAGGACATAATTAGGAAAGAAAACTCGTAGAATTTGACATTCCCACGGTCTATTTAAGGAAAGAAGGAAGGATATATATATATATATATATATATATATATATATATATATATATATAGAACGAGAGAACAAGAGAGAAAAAGAGAGAAGAGAGAAAAGAGAGAACAAGAGAGAAAAGAGAGAAAAGAGAGAGAGAACAAGAGAGAAAAAAGAGAGAGAGAACGAGAGAACAAGAGAGAAAAAGAGAGAGAGAACGAGAGAACAAGAGAGAAAAAGAGAGAGAGAACGAGAGAACAAGAGAGAAAAAGAGAGAGAGAACGAGAGAACAAGAGAGAAAAAGAGAGAGAGAACGAGAGAACAAGAGAAAAAAAGAGAGGGAGAACGAGAGAGAGAGAAAAAAAGAGAGGGAGAACGAGAGAGAGAGAAAAAAAGAGAGGGAGAACGAGAGAGAGAGAAAACAAGAGAGATAATAAGAGAGAGAGAGAGAAAACAAGAGAGAGAGAGAGAAAACAAGAGAGATAATAAGAGAGAGAGAGAAAACAAGAGAGAGAATAAGAGAGAGAGAGAGAATAAGAGAGAGAGAACAAGAGAGAGCGATAGAACTAGAACGACAGAGAGGGAGAACGATAGAACGACAGACAGAGAGAGAGAACAAGAGAGAGAACGATAGAACGAGAGAGCGAACGAGAGAGAGAACTAGAAAGACAGAGAGAGAGACAGAAAGAGAAAGAGGGAGAGACAGAGACAGAAAAAGAGAGAGACAGAGACAGAAAGAAACAATGGTTAGAATATATAACGAGATTTTTTGAAACTGATGGGAGAATAGACTCCGGGAGGTTTGCTAAGGAGAGAGACATTTTAGTTCTACAAAAGTTGTTGATCGCCCGCGTCGTGAAGGAACACAGCACATGAAAGTTTTGTTGAGTTGTAATGTTTGCCAAGCTACTTTTATATACTAACAGTGATATCCATAGTCATGTGATGTTCTCTGCTTATATGCCAAAACTATAGTACGCTTAGTAAATAAGCACTTTGTTGTCATCGGTGTGTACAATACAAAGACATCAACTAGACTGTATCATACGTACTTAAAGTTATAATTTCTATACCTAGAAATGTTCTTTATCAGAGTATGAATAATATTCTAGTAATGCCGTAAATATTTATATACAATTTGTAAAAATAGAATTTATTTCAAGCAAGGTATCTACATTTAAATACTCTAAGGATTTCGAGTGAAGTTAACGTAGCTTCTTCGATTTTCTAGAAATATTTTCATAGTAGTTCTGATTGACTTTCCTCTTCGAGATCTAGACTTCAGGAATTTTAGCGCAGTTCTGCAGACGGGGGAAAAAAGAGTTCAACAGACGGGGGAAAAAAAAAAGAAAAAAAAAGAGTTCAGCAGACGGGTGAAAAAGAGTTCCGCGATCTTATGGCTACATCTAACAATGTCAACTTTAATATGTAACCTAACTGCCAATCTAGTACTGCGCTTAAATTCACGATACAAAAGAGAAAATCTATGAAAACAATTACCATGAAAATATTCATAGCAAACCAAGGAGAAACTGTTACAGCGCTGACAAAGTGAGTGAAGCCGAGATGTCAGATCAGAACCTTTGTAGATTATTCTTTGCATTTTATCTAGAATCTCTAAATATATAGCTAAGGCATTTCAGGAATATCCAATGTATGGACGAAACATAGAATTAGAAAGGTGTAAGCTAGTCTCTGGCGAGAATTTCTTTTGCACGACACAATAAATCCAGCTTTTTTAGCAGTAGACGTACCACCCGATTCTGGCACGCTTTTTGATTTTAAATTCAATTTTTTTTTCGTTCATCTATGATCTTTAAAAATTTAAATAACGTTATTCGTCATCTTGTTTTCTTGAATTGCGTTCTTTTATAGCCCGCTTCGTTCTTATTTCATTTATATCTCAGTAACGCCATGATTTTATCGCCTTGCTTGGGGCGAAATGATTAAAAAGAAAAATTATATTTTTATCTATGCAGGTATATGTAATTTATATATAATCTTAAGATATAATTCAATTTAGAATCAAAATATACTTAAAAGAAAAAAAAACAACACACACAGACGATTAATGAGTAAAAATGCAATGCTAAGACAAAAAATAAACATGAAAAATCACACTGATGTATAAAGCTGCTACGCTGGTCAAACATCAAATAAACAAAGACCACTTAGAGACAACCATATAAAAATACAAATTACCCAGACAATGCATGATGAAAACCGAAAGCGCACAGATTTGTACAAGATATATCCAAATTCAAAAGGTTCGGATAGTAGAAAATTGTGTTAAAAAAATCGTTGGCCTTTGATATGTCCCAGAAAGGGATATATTTGTTCGAAGTAGCAAAGTGGTTGTTGACTACTGTAACCGGGTAGGACAATCTAGCAGCTAACGGTAATGGACTGGTCCTCATCGTAGAGGTAGGCAATAGGCATAGGCAATGGAGCCTTGTCAGCAATTATAAATGATATGTCCCGGAAAGAGATATATTTGTTCGAAGTAGCAAAGTGGTTGTTGACTACTGTAACCGGGTAGGACAATCTAGCAGGCAAAACATAATAAACTGGTTCTCGTCGTAGTGCTAGGCAATAGGCAAAGACTATAGGCGTAGTCCATGTACCTCCACATCAGTCTGTATTTATGGCTGACACCAGTCAATCATATTACTGTGAGTGGGGAACCCAGGCGTATGCGTATTCATTACATCAGTCTTCAACCAGACTTGCATAAAAGTTACAATTGGATATTTATTAATTAGACATGATTAATTAATAGGTTTCACCAGGGAATGCATTTTGTCCCAAATGTATAAATTTGTTTTATGATTACTCAAAGGTGTGAGTAATGTTTTAATTGGTATCGCCCTTGAAACAAATTGTGACAAATAAAGACTACATGTAAAAATTTAGAAGCACAGATATATGCTGCAGTTTTCCATTAAAATTACTTGAGCCATTTACGTGTAGACAGATTACAATTATATATATATATATATATATATATATATATATATATATATATATATATATTATTATTTTATTTTTCATATGCTGATCTGTATGTGCACAAACGAATTATATAAATTTTGGCAAACGACAAGACAACATACAAGAGAGTGTGGTGCATTTGTGGCCAGTGTAAAAAATTAATGTTTAATTACACACACATATATATATATATATATATATATATATAAAGGCTCTTTTGCCTTATGTGAAAAGAAAACCCTTTATTCTACATTCAACACCATCACTTGATAAGACACCAGAAGTGTTGAAACAAAATGGCAATTTTTGTAGTGATTTTATAACATTTATGTTATAATTTTCAAATAAATTATATTTGCTCTATTCTGTATTGAGCACTCTTTTAAGAAAAGTACTTTTTTGATTATTGGAATTTATTCTGTATGCACCAAGACTATGATTGGAGATATTATAGTACAAAATTATATATCTGTTCATATATGAACAAGCAGTATTTAAAAGAATTGTATGAAAAACTGGTGAAATTTTGTGATGCATTTCATCCATTAGCATTTCGTCGGATTGGTAAAAAAACTACCAACGTCTCTCGTTTCGTGCGCATGTGCAGACGTGGCAAAATCAACAAAGCTCAGTCCGACGAAATACTAACGGACGAAACGCATCACAAAAACTCCCCACGCACGTTGTCATATATATATATATATATATATATATATATATATATAATCTGAGTTGTATGGATATTAGTTTGTGACCCTGGCTTTCACGCTTTTCTGATCATAAGGCAAAATGGTTTATTTTTGTTTTAATGGATCTATCTATGCTTGTTTCTGTTTGATTGTTTGGTAGTGGCAGGGAGAATTTTGTTCTGGGTTTGTTTGGAATATCACTCATTCACTATCTCTCACACATACAGGTTTACGCATTTTAGTTCACACAAACACAGCCATATAAACAATCCAAGGTTATGCATTCGAGCACACACACACGTATATATATATATATATATATATATATATATATATATATATATAAGCACTTGTAATTCTATTTCGGTGTCGAGACTGTAGCGTTCTTATATGTGGCGGTGTTCTTTAATAATAAAACAGGAAGCCAAAGATATAGCCGCTAAACTGACCCAGGGTTTCAAACTAATATCCATGCAACCAAATATGTTAGCTTCCACTAAGTACTGAATATATATATCTCCAAGTATAGGATTGGTGTATATGGAATAAATTCTAATAACCAACAAATACTATTCTTAAAAGAGTTCTCAATACAGAGTAGAGCAAATATAATTATTTATTCCAAACTAAATATGTTATAAAATTACTACAAAAATAACCATTTTGTTTCAACACTATTGATGTCTTATCAAGTGATGGTGTTGAATGTTAGAGCCTCACTTGATAAGACATCAGAAGTGTTGAAAAAAAAATGGCTATTTTTGTAGTAATTTTATAACATTTATGTTATAATTTTCGAATAAATAATTATATATATATATAATATATATATATATATATATATATATATATATATATATATATACCAGAATTATTCCTAATATCAGGACAAAAATGTCCAATTCTACTTTTTCCAGCCTTCACAAAAGGCATTTAAGTAGTTTGTTGCTGGTTTTTCTTACACCCTACTACCAGAACCCAACAAATAAGACTTTGCAGGTTTATCGCATGTTTTCATATAACAGATGTTCTGTAAACTACGTTCTTTGCTTCCACAAATTCAGAAATTTACAGCCAGGAGGAAGTTCAACACCAAAGTACCATTTCTCAGGACGGTTGCATTGTGAAAGAGAATACAGAGAGGATGATTCCACGATAACTAAAATTAAAATTTTCTTGTATATTGTCAGCAGTAACATGCCATGCATATCATGATATGTACCTAGTGATCTACGTGCACGCGGCTACAACAACCTATTTACATTGTTCGGACTATTGTCCTCATCTTTGTCGCCATATTTATTACAACTTATTGGCTGTTGTACGCTCCGGCCTTCTTCAGGTGGTTGGAATGTCGAACTGAACTTTTTATTTCACTCACTGGGGTAGACTGTTCTAGTTCTACGTGCCATTTTTTAATGGATATCAGTTATCAGTTATCTTCTGTTAATTTCCCTCTCCAAGTTCTCCATTTCCTTAACCGGGTATTGAACTCACACTCTTTGGGTCCTGTCACTGGATCTAACCAACGCCTTTATCCACTGTGCCACGGCACGTAGAACTAGAACAGTCTACCCCAGTGAGCGAAATAAAGGGTTCACTTCGACATTCAAACAACCTGAAGAAGGTCGGAGCGTACAACAGCCGAAACGTTGTCATAAAATATGGCGACAAAGATGAGGACAATAGTCCGAATAATATAAATAGTGTACATAATACCTCATCTGAGAAATATAGACACAAACAATTACCACATTTAGAAACCCTTACTGGAGTGGCTCTTTTGCCTTATGTGAAGTAAAAAGTAAAATAAATGTGATAAGAATATAAATACAACAATCGATGTTAACAATGAAAACGCAAATGTGTGTGCGTATGTGTGTGTGTGTGTGTGTGGTATTCTGTAGCAGTCAAGAGACATGCTTACAGGCTGGAGAGAAATTGGCGTTTAGTTATGTCTTTTAGCTTTGCGCTTACTCAAGAATTATCGAGATGCATCTGTACAATGAATTCTGACCCACCCACGCAAGCATAGATATGTAGTTCGAAGAATGAATTCTGAAGAACATTGCATACATTTCACAGGAATTTCATTCGACGATGTATTTGCAGACACTGTTTACTGACGTGACTGAGGAAAGAACGCGGCTGCTTTTAAATAAATGACAAACGTTTAAGAATCCGATTCATTCACGTATAGACTTAAAAAAAAAAGAAAATACTTTTTTCTTTCATTGATGTACGATTTTGTAAATGCATTTAGCTGACTATCCTTTCGTCCAATTATCAATCTGCCTAAACTTCCGCACATCTATACAGTTATCTACGGATACATCTAACTATTCATTTTGCAAACTGTGTGTGTATATATATATATATATATATATATATATATATATATATATAATTATTTTTTATAAAAATTTATAACATAAGTATGTTATAAAATCATATATATAATATACTTATGTTATAAATTTTTTATAAAAATAATTATATCTGCTCTACTTTTGTATTGAGCACTCTTTTAAGAATAGTAATTGTTGGTTATTGGAATTCATTCCGTGTATACCAATTATATACTTTGATATATATATATATATATATATCGCTATATCTGTGTGTGCGTGTATATATATATCAGTATATCAGTGAGTGTGTGTCTAGATCAGTATATCTCTGTGTGTGTCTAGATATATGTCACTATCTGTATCATATCTGTGTACTTGTATACACTATGTGTGCATAGATTACTATCTTTCTGTATATCATATCTATATAATTGTGCGTATAGCACTATGTGTGTGTATCTCTCTGTATGTATATCCCTATGACATGTACATGTCAGTATGTGTGCGTGTGTGCATATCACTGTGTGTGTGTGTGTGTGTGTGTGCGTATCACTATATCTGTGTGCGCGTATCACTATAACTGTGAGTGTGTGCATGTCACTGTAACTGTGTGTATGGGTGTGTGCATATCACTATAACTATGTGTGTGTGGGTGTGTGCACATCACTATAATGATGTGGGTGTGTGCATACCACTATAACGATGTGGGTGTGTGCATACCACTATAACGATGTGGGTGTGTGGGTGTGTGCATATCACTATAACTATGTGTGTGGGTGTGTGCGTATGAGTGCACGCGCATCACTGTGTGTGTGTATATCATTGTGTGTGCGTGCGTATCACTGTTAGTGTGCGTTTCACTATGTGTGTGTGTGTGTGTGTATAGCTTCACGTATATTCATCAAAGAGTTACGTATCCGTGCATGTACATATCTAGCTATATACCATTTACCATCAATCAGCTAAATCGATCTTTTTCATACTTCTGTCGTTCATAATACATGAATTAATAAAGGAAATCACTTATACTTTAAGTTAATCATCAGCAAAAGTTAAGATGCCACAAGTCTCGTAGATTCAGGTCCGTCAATCAACACCCATTCATCAATGTTTGCATATATCACCGGACTTAAGGCTCTGTCAGGTGACTAGGCAAACGTCTCACTAAGAAACTCGTTTGCAAGTATTGAATGATTAATAATGCACAAACAGGTTGTTTTAAGAAGCCAGAGAATCTCACAATGTTAAATTCGTAACTGATAGCTGAACTTCATTGACAGACGTGTTAAAAAGGAAAATTCACTAAAATGGGGTGATTAAAATTGTTTGATTATATTCGACTGATATTGACTGAGCTTGGCGCAAGGTGATCTCCAAATAGGAATTGAAGTCTATAGTTCGAATAATATCATATTATAATATATTAATTCCAGTTTATGTCAGCCAGCACTGTTAGCCCGAGAGAGCGCAACGTGACAAACTCGGTAGGGTTAGCATCAGCAATAATAATGGAAGTAAAAATGGCGTTAAAATTAAACTATTCCTTGCCCCAGTTAACAGAAACTGTAGGTCATGTTTGACATCAGCTGTCAATTTGATTTTAAAGAACTAAACTGACTATCGAGACAGGATTAAATAGATGTAGCATCAGCATAGATAGAAAGTTTAGCATGGTCATTTTTGATCACCTGATAAGGGCGGTAAATGCAGAGAAACTACTTGGGTTCAGTAAGAAAGAGGGAGAGCAAAGAAGGAGGGAGAGAAAGCAATGTGGGAGAGAAAGCAAGCAAGAAAGCAAAGAGGGAATAAGCAAGCTAGCAAAGAGGGGAAAAATCAAGTAAGCAAAGAGGGGAAAAATTAAGCAAGCTAGCAAAAAGGGGAAAAATTAAGCAAGCTAGCAAAAAGGGGAAAAATTAAGCAAGCTAGCAAAAAGGGGAAAAATTAAGCAAGCTAGCAAAAGGAAAAAATAAGCAACAAGCTAGCAAAAGGGGGAAAAATTAACAAGCTAGCAAAGGGGAAAAATTAAGCAAGCTAGCAAAGAGGGGAAAAATCAAGCAAGCTAGCAAAGAGGGGAAAAATCAAGCAAGCTAGCAAAGAGGGGAAAAATCAAGTAAGCAAAGAGGGGAAAATCAAGCAAGCAAGCAAAGAGGGGAAAAATTAAGCAAGCAAGCAAAGAGGGGAAAAATTAAGCAAGCTAGCAAAAAGGGGAAAAATTAAGCAAGCTAGCAAAAAGGGGAAAAATTAAGCAAGCTAGCAAAAAGGGGAAAAATTAAGCAAGCTAGCAAAAAGGGGAAAAATTAAGCAAGCAAGCAAAGAGGGGAAAAATTAAGCAAGCAAGCAAAGAGGGGAAAAATTAAGCAAGCTAGCAAAGAGGGGAAAAATTAAGCAAGCTAGCAAAGAGGGGAAAAATCAAGCGAGCTAGCAAAGAGGGGAAAAATCAAGCGAGCTAGCAAAAAGGGGAAAAATCAAGCAAGCTAGCAAAGAGGGAAAAATCAAGCAAGCAAAGAGGGGAAAAATTAAGCAAGCTAGCAAAGAGGGGAAAAATCAAGCAAGCAAGTAAAGAGGGGAAAAATCAAGCAAGCAAGCAAGCAAAGAGGGAAAAAGCAAGCAGGCAAGCAAAGAGGGGAAAATTCAAGCAAGCAAACAAAACGCGAAAAATCAAGCAAGCCATGAGGTGAGGCGGGAAAGAAGGAAATAAAGTCGTTAACGTGTGTTTCAATGAAAAAGTTGTCAATTGAAATCTTTCCATTTGTACACTTTTACTTCTTACATTAACGACTGGCTTTCATATTTATGATTGTTATTACAATACTTCGTTAAAATGTTTACGCTCAAATGTTTAACGCTACGATAAAAGGAATTCCTTCGGATATTTTATTGTCATATAATTCGCCCTGAGATTACTCAATCATTAACTTCATTATGATTCATCAGAAAATTCAATTGGGAAAACCATGAAATTATCACGGGCCTTTTTAGTACATTCATATTTTGCTTCAGTTTTATAAATATTAATGCCATTACCATGAATGTAACCAATACATTGTTGTAAATTTCCTCTTTTATTGCTATTTATATATATATCTGTCGAACGGAAAGTCAATGGGCTGACGTTAGCAGTAGCCAAAATTGATTCGCGTATGATACGTGAAGGTTCTCTATTAAATGATAGGTTTTGCTGACAATTTCTTTACGTAATATTGTATATTAGCAATAATATTTTTTACGGCAGATAAACATTTATTTCTACATGTTTCGTGTATAATTTCTATCTCAGGTCTATGTAAGAGATGAATGTCAAAGGGTAATCGAAGTTTATATTTTATAACTATTCAAATATCACATATACGAATTTATAGAAAAGAAAGGATGATTTTTCAAACAGAATATTTTACAATAAAACACGGACAGCCCTACCCTACTGTATAATAATATACTGCTTGACGGTTTTAAAGACTTTAGGATTATATACAACCAGCAGTAAGCAAATAAAAGCAATACTAATGTTAAAAATACAACCATCGAAATTAAATTTGGATAACTTTTCGTATATTTTGGTAAAAGATCTTAAAATAACATATTCTTTAGGCTTTATAACAATCAGAAACAATTGGTTTCACATTATATTTCAACTAACTCCGAGAGTATAGGGTAATTGTTTAATTAAAGACTTAAGACGTCGATTTGTGTTGTAGAGTAGTTTCACAGTGGAGGCTTGTATTTCACTAAGTCGGTCCTAAAATAGGTTCGACTTACAAAACGTTAGGAACTTAATATAATAAGTAATGACGCAGAGAAATCTAGTGGCGGTCGCTGATACTTTTAGTATCCGACTAACAGTCGTCCGACATCGACTGACTCACAAACTCACTGAGCGACTTAGCGACTCCTGCTACTCCTATTTATTATAGGTGGGAGAATCTATTAACTATAGAATAGGTGTGTTCCACTATAACAATTTGGTTCACCATAGTCGAAAAGACCTAGAGTTGGCTCGCCATAGTCAAAAAGACCTAGAGTTGGCTCAGTACAGTTGAAAGACAGCAGTTTCTTCATCGGATAATTCAGACTTTTTATAAAAGTTTACATATTTCTGAAAAGCCAGATCAAAAAACAGAACAAGAAACCCCCCCAAAAAAAACGTTAGAATAAATATAAAATTCCTTTAAAGAAGTCTTAACATAAATTATATATATGTATATATATATATTGGCGTAGGTCCTTATCTATGAAAGATCGCCAAGCTCGAATAATTCTCGCCATGTAGTCGATTAGTTTCTCCGTCACAATATATATATATATATATATATATATATATATATCTTAAACTATGGGGAATCTCGTCTCGTCTGATTCACAAGGAAAATACGTTTAAAATCAAACGGAGACTCTGTAAAAACAGCAAGAATTGACTTACGTAATGTTGACAAGAACGAAAGTTATACTTAGAGATTAACACACCTGAATAGGTGATATGGCTTGGGTGGGGAGGGAGATGAAATGGCGGTTATTATAATAAGTGAATTTAAGCAATTATCTCAGCTGTAGCACAGAAATAGAATTGTGTGGGTAGAAATAATGAAGGACTAAGAATTGAGCAGACAGCCTAGATGTGATGATGCTGTCTAACATACAAAACAAAGAAGATAGCCTAGAAAAAGATTTAAGTACAATATTTTCAAATTAAAATTCATCCGATATTCTAGGGTAGGAGGCAGAGCTAAAAATAAAGAAAAAAGGAACATATAGAGAACAGAAGTGTTTTCAATATATATATATATATATATATATATATATATCAAAAGTACCTTCCACAAGACAGTACAAGGTATAATCGTGAGGTATTTCTTTCCCACTATATATATATAACAATGAATCTAGCCTGCACAAAGGCCAAGAACAACTTGAAAAAGAGTGCTACTGTAAAAGAGATATAGTTTATGTAGATACGTGTGGAAGATAACGGTTAACCTTAGAATTGGACAGATTAAGATTGTAGTAACCAGGGAAACATTCTCTTGGGAGCAGAAAGTATATATGTGTGTGTGTTATGTGAGAAAAAACAGATTATAGCATTGTCAATAATAATTGGTAAATGTTTGAATGAAATTGCTGCTGCTTGTTACTTCTGGTAAGAAAGGAAGAGAAATTAAGTTCTATCTGAAGGGATGTATTATGTTCAAAATCCTGTGAAAACGAGGAAAGGTTCGAAGCAGGTATTAAAAATGAGGCGAGGACGCTAAGAAACGTACTAGAAAGTTCACAAATTCTGCAGCCAACATTCCCAGATCTTTCTCTACCTTGCCTGTAAACAATATTAGAATAACAGCGAAGAAAATGAGGCTGGCAAGATCGTTTCGTAAATAGCAAACAAAAATTTTACAACTACACACTTTTTTTTTACCAAAATTAAAAAACTGAATAAGAGTTATTTATCAATCACATGATTGATATTTTTTGTCCAATATTTAAGTATAAGTTTAAAAAAAAAACTTATGTAATAATAGAAAACATATCTTTTTGTTTGTATAAAGTGCGTGGCGAAATATTAGCTAAATGATTAGTGTTATTAGTTTATTAGGTAAATAACAGATTTTAGAAGTATGCAAAAGTTTTCATCTAATACATCACGAAACTTGTAACATTTAACAAGTAATAAATAGGTAGTCACAGTCGATTAGTCTTTAATTATCGATGTTTTTGAGTATTTAACACCAATTCATTTATTGGTTCGTTTTCGAACTGCTCATGAACGCGGAGCAAGTTATTTAACACCAAATAATATTTCTTTTTGAGACTGTGAGACTTTTTGGGAGATAATTTAGTGATACAAATCTTAATAGTTAACCCATAGCTGGTGGGAGAAGAGGTGGATCGATACCATTCCCTAGGACATTTTTGCGTAATATAACGAAATTGGAACTCCGTTCTCCAACTACCCATTACTCCCTGCCATACTTCCAACCTTATAGCACTTGATATTCTCAAATGGTCACCCACATACGTACTGACCAGGCTCGACGTTCCTTAACTTCTGTGATCGTACGGGAATCGGCGTTTCAACGTGATATGGCCGTAAGGGAACTTGGCGCCAAGATAGACATTCAAATATAAACGACAATATTTCACTGATTATTTTACTTATTTGTTGGCCTCTTTCGCGAGGGTTTATCCTTCAAAATTTTGCGGTCGGTGTAATTCAGGATCCGCCAACAGGCAGTAATCAATGTCCCGGAGAACAATATACATGATTAGAACAGTTCAAATGACATTTCGGAGACGATGTCTAAATTTAGACTAGTGTGGAATAAGACTAACCAGAGTGAGTCGATTTTTTTTATGGTCGCCCGGAAGACCATTTTGGTAATTGCGACAGAACCCAGAAATTTTCGCTTAATGTGAAAAAGTGAGAAAGATCTGAAAAAATATAATTTACTGTTATTTAATCCTCATTTTATCTCTTTTTGATGCCTAAAATGAATTTTAATCGGCATCATTCCACGCGAAAATAAGGGGGATCGACACCTTTTCCGTTCATGAGACACAGAGAGAGACTTTCCAATCAAAAGCATTAATAAATCCCTGGTCACTTCGGCAAAAATGATTCTATGCATTAGATTGGCCAAAAAGTCCGATCGCTTATTAAGTAGAAAATTTACGTAATAAACCGAACGTACATTTTGGCCAACCCAATATTTTGTGTGGTATTGTCAAGTGTAACTATCACTTGCTCGCGGAATAATGTCTACACTCATCTGCTTTGGAAAGAATGGCGTAAAAAAAAAAAAAAAAAAAAAAAAACAAAAAAAACACATATATATATATATATATATATATATATATATATATATATATATATATATATATATATATATATGGTATTGTCACAAGTTTATATGTCTGACAAGAAGTTAAATGCTTTCTACGAAATGAGCCATAAACTCTACCCTATCTTAACAAATGAAGAGTAATTACTATTAACAGTTTAATATCTTCTAAATTTTTAGTTAATATTGATAAAACAAAAAACAGATTCAGTCAGAGACGATACAGTTCCTTACGTAAGTAGAAGAACTTTATAAAAAAGGTACTTTGGAATCAATAATACTTTTGCTTAAATATTAGACACCGTGCAGAGAGCCATGATCGCCCACGATTTGAAATAATATAGCATACAAAAGATCGGCGAACGTCTTATTAGACTACGAGAGACATAGATAATTTGAAAAAGAAAGTAATTGTCATATGTAAGTGCTTTCTGGTATGCTAAATCAAATCAAGATCTAAAGAAAGTGATGCCCTTGTCAGCTGAACTGAGAAAACTATATTAAAACATTCATTCGTATGAGCTTAGATTTTGCATTTTAAATTAAGCTATTACGATAACGTTTGAAAACATTTATGTTGCACGTTACAATAATACTTGTGGCATTTTTTTAATATATCGCTTTTCTACGAAGACAATCTATGATTGAAATCTAAATGATTCAAATTAAACCTTGTGGCTTGTACGAATTCCAGATTCACAAATAGGGAAAACGCGGGAGACAATTTTTCTTTCACTATATTTGAGCCACGGTATAGTAATGGATAGCGGCTCGGGTTGAGGAATCGGAGAGCCGAGTTCGAATTCCAGTCGGATCCATTACATTCACTTATGTGCTGATACCGTTGGGAAATGTATGAATCCTATTCTTCCAGCTATGTGTAAGTAGCAGGACATACGGGGTTCTTTAGCCTTGGATGGAAACTGGTTTAACACAGAAAGAAATGGCAACCTAATGCGGGAAAAATCTGCCCTGTCAGTCAGGTATCTTTCGATATATGATCGTGTATCACGCATGCCACATAACTGACTGACTGATATTTGAACTATTTAACGAACTAGTGAGTATAAAGACACACACATATTATATATATATATATATATATATATATATATATATATATATATATATATATATATATATATACACGTACGTACGTACGTTTATCACATCCGCATTATGAATTTACATCAGTGAATTAAACACGCGCAAATGCGCACACACACGTGTGTTAGAGAAAATTATATATAATTTTTTGAGTAAGGTTTAATCCTTTTCAGGTTATAGTTTTCATTTTCAGCCGAAGTATTTTGTAATCTATAGATAGACTTTTGAAAAGAAAACACCTGCCACACATTGTCTCTTTAAAAGGTGTGGTTAATATCAACAAAACTGTAGCGGGTGCTTGAAATCGGTACTTGCCGAAAGAAAAAAAACGGTTGAAAGCACTAAACAGAGTTAAATGTTAATAGAAAACAGAGTGGCAAACAGACACCTGATTAGGATAAAAAAAAGGACTTCAGAATTACTATTAATAAAAAAGGTAAAAATCAATAATTATATATATAATATACAAAAAGGATTATTGTATATATTTCGATCGCGCGGGCGGATCGATATATGATTAACACATTTCCTGAGTTATTCTCTTTTGTGATCAATATTTACTGGATTGAGTGCATTGACAAAAGATTGCTGAAAATTAAATATCTGTTTGCAAAATAAAGGTATTAACGGCAATTGACTTCTGATATCTAAGTTTGTGAACAATGCATATTTGTGCGTAGGTTTGCCCGTGTATACATAGATAAAGAACATCAAATTTATAGCTCAGTGAAAGGGTTTATGCAAGAGAATATTTTAATATCAATTGCGAGTACCGTGCTAAGTGATCTGCTGAGAGTTACTCTATCGAATGAGTTCGAGCGACGTTGGATTTAAGTTATCTGCTCATATTCAGGATTTATATTCCTAATACTTGAAAAATTAGAAAAGACTGTTGAAAAAGCAAGAACGAAAAGAACAATGTACTTGCTCTTTTGGTATAAAAAATAACTTTGCGCATATACTAAATTCATGATCAGATACGAATTTAGAACTTTACATGCGCAAGTTAAATTTCATGAATGGAAAGTTCGAGATTATATATATATATATATATTTATTATATATGCTTGGTACTTATAAGAAAGTGCTCAAGAGCTAACATTTAGTTGGATTATTTTTAT